CAAACACAAGAAAACAACAATGTTACCCCCCCCTCCAAAAATACCCTCAACCCACCCAATACAAATTAAAACGCCCCACCGCCACCACCAAATAAACCCCAACAACTAATACTCCCCCCCCCCAGCAAACCCAACAAAATAGCCACAACAATTATGAACAGCAAAGTCATCAATAAAATGAGGTGACCTTGCACTGAGACAAAATCCTAAAAACATCTCCCTCCCTCCTCCTCCCCCACTTCCTTCTTCTGCACTCACTCCACCCCCAAACCCTGCCCATAATATATTTGTAAAAATTGGCCTCTCACTCAAAAAAAAATCCGTATTGAACACATAGAAAGCCAAATTTCAAATGAGAGGCAAAATGGCAGCCGATAGAAATGTGACGTCACCAGTCTACCTCTCCAAAGTCCCGCTATGAAGATTGAGAGGTGGATATAGGTCAGTCACATAACTGCATCCACTGCCCACGGCAGCTACAGGTCAAGTCTTTGTGTCCAGCATCTAAACAACCACGTGGTTGGCGGGTGCTCTGTTGTGGATTCTTATTTCTTTTGTTTAAAAATCAAACTTCTATCATACTCAATTCTCATCCTTCTTTCCTTCGTATGTTAAACTCTAGTAAGTAAAATCTCTAACCTTGGCGACTTATATGACCTATTTGTGTTGCATGTTCCGTAAAACTCTTACTAAAACTAAACAGAAAAACTAAAAAGGACACGGGTAGGTATCCGAACCGGCAATTCGACACAGGATGGGCACAGGTACATAAGCCCCGCCCTCCACAGCGGGTTATCCAATCACTACGCACACTGCACACGGCGTGCCTCGTGTCATAGCAGCAAGAAAGAGCCCAAGAAGCCATTTTCTAACGTTTCTGTTGAAAATAATCTTCGCTTGTAGGGGATATTCGTTTGAATGTGCACTTCTGAATAATTCTTATGTGCATTTGAATATTTTTGTGTTCATTGGAATAGTTTGGAACATTTTCTGTGTGGGAAAAAAGTGTGATCTTTGAACTGTGAACTGCAAGACACTTGTTTCACAACTTGTTTGTTGATAACCACTCTCCGGGTATCGATTTCAGATTGGTAAACCTAATTTCTTTTTAAAAGAAAGGATCTCACACATCGCAGGATGGTTTCGGTAAGTACAGTATAAATTTAATAAGGTTTCTTCTTCTTCTTCTTTTTCTTCTTCTTCTTCTTCTTCTTCTTCTTCTTCTTCTTCTTCTTCTTCTTCTTCTTCTTCTTCTTCTTCTTCTTCTTCTTCTTCTTCTTCTTCTTCTTCTTCTTCTTCTTCTTCTTCTTCTTCTTCTTCTTCTTCTTCTTGAAACGAACGTTTAATAGTCTTCTTCCGATGGTGACGTTTAAATTTCATTTTTTTGAGTACATAAATCCACATGGCCAGAGTGATGGTCGTTAAGTACGACACAATACAGATAGAAAATTAAATATAAAATCAATAATACATGCACGCACACACCAACAGAAAGAGATAGAGAGAGAGAGAGTTAAAGAAAGAGAGTGAGCGAAGAATGACCTACCGGAGAGGCCTTCAAACATTCACACCACCACAACCACCATCTCCACCAACAAAAACAACAATGTTAGAAAAAAGCAGCAAAAAATACAACTCTCTCCTAAAAAAAGATCCCCCCCTCCCCCCGAAAAAATAACAACTAACACCACCCACCAAAAAACAAAACAGAAACAAAACAAAAACAAAACAAAAACAAACCACAACGAAATGCAACAAAACAGAAAAATCAGCATTGGTCTTTGGCTGAAAAAAAAATCCCGATTTAAACACAAACAAAGTCAAATTTCAAGTAAGAGACAAAATGGCCGCTGAAAGAAAGGTGACGTTATAGTCTACCTATTCAGAGTCCCTCAATGATGATTGACAGGTGGACAAAGGCCAGTCACATGACTCCACTCTCTTGTCCCGCTACTACTGGTCAAGCCTTTGTGTCCAGCCCCTAAACAACCACGTGGTTGACGGGTGCTCTGTTGTGGTTTGTTCTTTCTTTCGTATCAAACTTCTATCGTCTTATCTCTCCTTCTCCTTTCTCTTGTCACTAAAACCTATACCCTTCGGCTTTTATATGACGTATGTATGTTGCATGTTCACATGTGGATTTCAAGCCATCCCATGCGGTTATTTGACCCAGGATGGATACCTATACATGAACCGCGCCCTCCACCACGGATTATCCAAACATAACGCGCAAAACACATGTACACCTCGTGTCATGAATATGAAAATGGATAGCTTCTTCTTCTTCTTCTTCTTCTTCTTCTTCTTCTTCTTCTTCTTCTTCTTCTTCTTCTTCTTCTTCTTCTTCTTCTTCTTCTTCTTCTTCTTCTTCTTCTTCTTCTTCTTCTTCTTCTTCTTCTTCTTCTTCTTCTTCTTCTTCTTCTTCTTCTTAAATTTCATTTTTTAAAAAGAAAATGGCGACAGCCGGCAGCCTTAAAGACCACGAACTTTCTGTTGTGTCCTTTTTGGACCAACAGGACAAATACATCTCTACCACTACCAGACTGTTAACAAGTTTGGTCAATGAAAAACTTTTCACTCCTTCTAAAACATAAACTTTTTAGTTCGTTGGTTTGTACGTTTAATTGTTTTGAGAACAGAATGATACATGTTTTGAGAACAGAATGATGCATGGATAGGGTGATGATCGTTTATTCCGGGGACGGGGGAATATTGTGAGAGAGAGAGAGAGAGAGAGAGAGAGAGAGAGAGAGAGAGAGAGAGAGAGAGAGAGAGAGAGAGAGAGAGAGAGAGAGAGAGAGAGAGAGAGAGAGAGAAGAAGAAAAGGAAGGAGAAAAAAGAAGAAGAAGAAGAAGAAAAAGGAGGAGAAGAAGAAGAAGAGGAATGACCTGCTTGTGGGGGATTTTGACACTCACACCATAATAACCAACAACAACAATGAAATAAACAATAAATGCTAGAAACAATACTTCAACTCACTCAAAATGCACCCCTCCCAAAAAAACAAAAAAACAACACAAAGCAAAACCCAAACCCCCGAACAAACAAAGCAACAACAAAACAGCAAAGCCAACATTGCCCTCTAACTCTGAAATAATCACGATTTGAACAACTTCAAGCGAGAGGCAAAATGACAGCCGATAGAAATGTTACGCCACCAGTCTACCTCTCCAAAGTCCCGCTATGAAGATTGAGAGGTGGATATAGGTCAGTCACATAACTGCATCCACTGCCCACGGCAGCTACAGGTCAAGCCTTTGTGTCCAGCTTCTAAACAACCATGTAGTTGGCGGGTGCTCTGTTGTGGATTCTTATTTCTTTTGTTTAAAAATCAAACTTCTATCATACTCAATTCTCGTCCTTCTTTCCTTCGTATGTTAAACTCTAGTAGGTAAAATTTCTAACCTTGGCCACTTATATAACTATTTGTGTTACATGTTCCGTAAAACTCTTACTAAAACTAAACAGAACCGGCAATTCGACACGTGATGGGCACATGCACATAAGCCCCGCCCTCCACAGCGGGTTATCCAATCACTACGCACACTGCACACGGCGGGCCTCGTGTCATAGCAGCAAGAAAGAGCCCAAGAAGCCATTTTCTAACGTTTCTGTTGAAAATAATCTTCGCTTGTAGGGGATATTCGTTTGAATGTGTACTTCTGAATAATTCTTATGTGCATTTGAATATTTTTGTGTTCATTGGAATAGTTTGGAACATTTTCTGTGTGGGAAAAAAGTGTGATCTTTGAACTGTGAACTGCAAGACACTTGTTTCACAACTTGTTTGTTGATATCCACTCTCCGGGTATCGATTTCAGATTGGTAAACCTAATTTCTTTTTAAAAGAAAGGATCTCACACATCGCAGGATGGTTTCGGTAAGTACAGTATAAATTTAATAAGGTTTCTTCTTCTTCTTCTTCTTCTTCTTCTTCTTCTTCTTCTTCTTCTTCTTCTTGAAACGAACGTTTAGTAGTTTTCTTCAGATGGTGACGTTTAAATTTCATTTTTTTAAAAGAAAATGGCGACAGCCGGCAGCCTTAAAGACCACGAACTTTCTGTTGTGTCCTTTTTGGACCAACAGGACAAATACATCTCTACCACTACCAGACTGTTAACAAGTTTGGTCAATGAAAAACTTTTCACTCCTTCTAAAACATAAACTTTTTAGTTCGTTGGTTTGTACGTTTAATTGTTTTGAGAACAGAATGATGCATGGATAGGGTGATGATCGTTTATTCCGGGGACGGGGGAGGATAAGACTATGCGGACAGAAATAAGATGAATATTGTGTGAGAGAGAGAGAGAGAGAGAGAGAGAGAGAGAGAGAGAGAGAGAGAGAGAGAAGAAGAAAAGGAAGGAGAAAAAAGAAGAAGAAGAAGAAGAAAAAGGAGGAGAAGAAGAAGAAGAGGAATGACCTGCTTGTGGGGGATTTTGACACTCACACCATAATAACCAACAACAACAAGGAAATAAACAATAAATGCTAGAAACAATACTTCAACTCACTCAAAATGCACCCCTCCCAAAAAAACAAAAAAACAACACAAAGCAAAACCCAAACCCCCGAACAAACAAAGCAACAACAAAACAGCAAAGCCAACATTGCCCTCTAACTCTGAAATAATCACGATTTGAACAACTTCAAGCGAGAGGCAAAATGACAGCCGATAGAAATGTTACGCCACCAGTCTACCTCTCCAAAGTCCCGCTATGAAGATTGAGAGGTGGATATAGGTCAGTCACATAACTGCATCCACTGCCCACGGCAGCTACAGGTCAAGCCTTTGTGTCCAGCTTCTAAACAACCATGTGGTTGGCGGGTGCTCTGTTGTGGATTCTTATTTCTTTTGTTTAAAAATCAAACTTCTATCATACTCAATTCTCGTCCTTCTTTCCTTCGTATGTTAAACTCTAGTAGGTAAAATTTCTAACCTTGGCCACTTATATAACTATTTGTGTTGCATGTTCCGTAAAACTCTTACTAAAACTAAACAGAACCGGCAATTCGACACGGGATGGGCACATGCACATAAGCCCCGCCCTCCACAGCGGGTTATCCAATCACTACGCACACTGCACACGGCGGGCCTCGTGTCATAGCAGCAAGAAAGAGCCCAAGAAGCCATTTTCTAACGTTTCTGTTGAAAATAATCTTCGCTTGTAGGGGATATTCGTTTGAATGTGCACTTCTGAATAATTCTTATGTGCATTTGAATATTTCTTGTGTTCATTGGAAGAGTTTGGAACATTTTCTGTGTGGGGAAAAAGTGTGATCTTTGGTCTCCTTAAACAAGGGAAACCTGTATTGAACTGTGCGCTGCAAGACGTTTGTTATACAACTTGTTTGTTAAATCTTGATGTCTGCTCTCTTGTTGACCAATTCTGCTTGGTAAACCTGATTTCTTTTAAAATACAAACAATTGTCTGAATTGTATCACATTACTAAGTTGTCCAAATCAAGAAAACGTATTCCAAGTGTTGGACAAAGAGAGTATGTCACACATCACATGATGTCTAACGTGAGTATATTATTATGAGGAATGAGAAAAAATATCATCTTCTTCTTCTTCTTCATTCACCACTATTTTTTCTGCTTGGATGTTGTTGTTTTTAAAAAAGGAAGTGTGTATGCTATGCTCGTCAAGATGACTTGTTACACTGCGGTGTAGTCGCTTGTTCAACATAATAATGACGTCAAGTGCACGTTTCTCAATCTTCTTCCGATGGTCAGGCATATCGTTCCAGAGCCTAAATAGCAGAATAATAGTAGAAGAGAAGAAACAGAATAGTCATGAGGATGCAATAATTATAATTTGTAAAATTGTAAGCTAGGTTTTATCGACCCGTGCGAGTATTTTCCACTCATAGGTTGCTGTTTTCCCTACCCGTTTTTTACAAGTACAAAGAAAGCACTGGAATTTGAATAAAAAATGTCTACCATTACCAGACTATGGTCAAGTTTTGTCCATGAAACAACTTTCACTCTAAGTCATAAACTTCGTAGTGGTTGGCGGGTGCTCTGGTGCGGTTTGCTCCTTCATTCCTGTTAAACATCTAACGTCCTTATCTCTCCTTCTTTTTGTGTTTGTTACTCTTTTATAACACTTCTAGTCTTCGGCACTTCAATTTTTTATGTCGATTTTTTAAAGGCCCCATCGGCACAATCTCGATCATTTAGGAAGAGAGCTTCTGACCCTACCCGTCAGAGCCAACTCAGGCTGAGAGGGATACAACATCCCAGCAGAAAGACCGAGACACTCAATAAAAATTTCTACGAGCAACCTTAGTTGACCAAAACAAACAAAACAACCATTGAAGTGACCTACGGTTAAGGAGGATTTTTTTTCTTTTGTCATCGTCTTTGTAGTACTTGTGGTTGTTGTTTTATTATCTTTGTTGTGGTCGTTGTTTTTGTTGTCTTTGTTGTTGTGGTTGTTTTTGTTTTCTTTTTGCTTGTCTTTGTTGCTGTTATTATTGTTGTTGCTTTGTTTTGTAAATATATTTTTTTTGTTTTTAACCAACAGGCCCAACCAAAGCATCGCCGAAAAGGCACTCCAAGATGGTCGAAAAAAATGAAGAAGAAAGCGGTGCTCAGAGGAGTGGTGGATAAACTATGGGAGAGGCAGGAGAGATTGACAGAAGAGAGGAAAGAAAACCAGGTGGAATGGACAGAGGGGAACGGAGAGCCTGTACCGGGGACCAAGTGGCAGAGAGAGAACAATCTGGAGGAGATTAAGATGTACGCAGAGAGAGCCGACTACTCTTTGGTAACACATCGCCTTGTTTTTTTTTTTGTTGGGGGGGAGGTTGTTTGTTTTGGTGTGTGTGTGTGTGTGTGTGTGTGTGTGTGTGTGTGTGTGTGTGTGTGTGTCTGTGTTCATTTGTTGCTTTCTATAAGACACCACTTTCTTTGTATATTGTTTTGTTTGTTTTAATGGGCCAACTATTTAGTAAAGAACTTTATTAATTCTTTACTATTTTTGCTGTTGTATTTGTTTGCATAACTTGGCATTTTACCTAAAAATTAAAAAAAACCCAAAGAAACCCCCAAACACTTTAAAAAACGACCCCAACCAAACAACACTTAATTGGTTGTTTTTGTTTGTTTGTGTTTGTCAGTTTGACAAAGCGGTTGACTACTCTGTGGAAATAGAAGAACTTCGTTTATTTGTTTGTTTTGTTTTGGTTGTTTTTTTTATCATACAGGAAGCACACAAAAACAATAACTGTCTAATAGATAAATGAAAATATAAGACAGAAAGAGATGCAGACATGGCGCCTACTCTTTGGTAACACATTGCTCTTTTTCTTTTTTTTTTTGGGGGGGGGTGTTTTTTTTTTGTGTGTGTTTATTTGTTCGTTTCTATAAGACACCGCTTTGTTTGTATATTGTTTTGTTTGTTTTAATGGGCCAACTGTTTAGTAAAAACAGCACTTTATTAATTGTTTACAATTTTTGCTGCTGTATTTGTTTGCACAACTTAGCATAAAAAAACAACAATAAACAATCAAACAAAAAAACAGCAAACAACAGCATTTTATATTGATTGATTTTTGTTCCCGTATTTTGTGTGTTTTGTTTGTTTGATAAAGCGGTTTACTAGCCTTTGGTAAAAGAAGAACTTGGTTTATAATTTTTTTAGTTTGTTTTGTTTGTGATATTTATGGTACAGTGAAGCACGTGAAAACAATAAGTGTCAATAGGGAAATGAAATGGTAAAACAGAGAGGAAACCCCACCCTTTTTACAAGGACCTTCTGGATAATACTTATGCGTTTCTGATTCCAGGAATGTGACCAACAAGCAGAAAAACAAGACGCGAACAAGAAAAACCAAACGACCAACCCTGCCAAACACCGGAGAAAGGGAGAGAAACCCTCCCGTGTGACAACCCCAAATGTCGCTGCCCTGTACGGCCCTGGAGTACCTCCCCCTGACAAACGCCAAAAACAAGGACCTCCGACATATCAGTCATCGGCCGACCCCATCGACCTGGAGATCCGACCTCCGACCACCTCGGAGGTCCCATCTACCCCCAAACTAGCGGTGTCTACCCTACCTCCCCCCAGCTCGGAGGTCCCAACTACCCCCAAACTAGCGGTGTTTACCCTACCTCCCCCCAGCTCGGAGGTCCCAACTACCCCCAAACTAGCGGTGTCTACCCTACCTCCCCCCAGCTCGGAAGTCCCACCTACCCCCAAACTAGCGGTGTCTACCCTACCTCCCCCCAGCTCGGAAGTCCCACCTACTCCCAAACTAGCGGTGTCTACCCTACCTCCCCCCAGCTCGGAGGTCCCACCTACCCCCAAACCCTCCCATGTGACAACCCCAACTGTCGCTGCCATGTACGGCCCTGGAGTACCTCCCCGTGACAAACGCCAAAAACAAGGACCTCCGACCCACCAGTCATCGGCCGACCCCATCGACCTGGAGATCCGACCTCCCCCAAGCTCGGAAGTCCCACCTACCCCCAAACTAGCCAAGGCAATCTCATCTTCCTCCGAGGTAAGTAACCCGAATGACCAACATTTTGAAGATTTTCAAACCTGACAGGTAATGAAAAGCAAAGTGACCCAACAACCCACCCCCAACTTTTTTGTGTGTCCCTCTAAGAAACATACAAACGAACAAACAAACAAACAACCAACCAAACAAACAAACAAAACTCCAATCAATCAACCATATAGTCAATCCACTCGCCATCTACCCTCGATAATGAAAAAAACAAACCTAACTTATTTTTAAAGTCCTAATAAACCTATTCCTCTTTTTTTTAAAGCAAAAACAAAAACCCGCCTCTCCCTCTTAATTATGATAATATAATTTTTTTTTTAATTAAAAAAAAACAAAAACTTGTTATATCCACCCCTGCCACCCCCAGCCCAGCCCCAGTAAGAAAATCCTTTAATTCACCTGTATGTAACTATGTAACTATTTGGTATCTCCCCCCCCTCTCTCCCCTCTCCCCCCTTTTCCTCCCAACAGTCCCACGCCCCAACAACAGCGACAACAGACTGGGTCCATCCGGAGGAAAATCTCAGTGATGTCATCAGCCGACGGGAAGTGTCGTCCACCCCTCCTCCCTTGGACAAGAAGGTAAAGCAGAGAGATTCGAAGTTTGTTATGTACACGTGGAAAGAAAGAAGTAAACAAGAACAGAGATGCAGGAAGAAAAACATCATTTTAAAAATATATACGTATAAAAAATAACAACAATATTAATAATAATAATAATAATGATAATGATGATATTAATAATAATACAATAATGATTATAATAATAATAATTTTAAAAAGTGATAATAATAATACAAAAAATAATACATTATACAATAGAAATAAAAATAACAATAATAATAATAATAATAATAATAACAAGGAGAAAATCGTTAGAGGATGTGTTAGTCGACAAGTTTTCTTTCCATCAACCAAACAACCAGGTATAGGTACAGGGACAAACTTGTCCACAATCTACTCTCACTTGTCAGAGTTACTCCAAACGGAGGCGGGCTGCTGCCGTAGAAATGTAAGCAACTTAAGATAAACATTCCTTGACAAAATCAATTTAAGAAAAAAAGTCAACAAAAGTTTCCTCTCCAACAAACAGCCACAGAGTCATCTGAAAGTCCACACGTGGAAGAATTGTTCCCTAAGGAGGCGAGCTGCTGCCGTATAATAAGTAACCTTCGAGAAAACTTCGTTAACAAAATCAAGCAAAACAAAACAACGTTTGAAGTGAGCTACGGTTAAGGAGGCTTTTTATTTTCCTTTTGTCGTCGTCGCTGTTGTTGTGGTTGTTGTTTTTGTAGTCTTTATTGCCTGTGTTGTTGTTGTTATCGTTGTTATTATTGTTGCTTTGTTTTGTAAAATATTTTTTTGTTTTTAACCAACAGGCCCAACCAAAACATCGCCGAAAAGACTTTCCAAGAGTGTCCGAAAAAATGAGGAAGGAAGCGGTGCTCAGAAAAGTGGTGGATAAACTAAGGGAGAACGTGGAGAGATTGACAGAAGAGAGGAAAAAAACCCGGGTGGGATGGACCAAGCGGCAGAGAAAGAACAATCTGAAGCAGATTAAGAAGTACGCAGAGAATGCCGACTACTCTTTGGTAACACATCGCCCTTTTTCTTTTGGTTGGGGGGGGGGGGGTGTTTGTTTTGATTTGTTTGTTTGTATATGTGTGTGTGTGTGTGTGTGTGTGTGTGTGTGTGTGTTTGTTCATTTGTTACTTTCTATAAGACACCACTTTCTTTGTATATTGTTTTGTTTGTTTTAATGGGCCAACTATTCAGTAAAGAACTTTATTAATTCTTTACAATTTTTGCTGTTGTATTTGTTTGCATGGCTTGGCATTTTACCAAAAGAGCAACAACAATCACAACAACAACAACAACAACAACAACAAAAGCCACAGCAAAAAAACTACCCCAACAAAACAACACTTTAATTGGTTGTTTTGTTTGTTTGTGTTTGTCAGTTTGACAAAGCGGTTGACTACTCTGTGGAAATAGAAGAACTTTGTTTATAATTTGTTTTGTTTTGCTTTTTTATCATACAGAAAGCACACGAAAACAATAACTGTCTAATAAATAAATGAAAATATAAGACAGAAAGAGACACTCCCACACTTTTTACAAGGAACTTCTGGATAATATTTATGTGTTTCTGATTCCAGGAATGTGACCAACAAGCAGAAAAACAAGATGCGAAAAAGAAAAACCGAACGACCAACCCTGCCAAACGCCGGAGAAAGGGAGAGAAACCCTCCCGAGTGAGAACCCCAAATGTCGCTGCCCTGGACGGCCCCGGAGTACCTCCCCCTGACAAACGCCAAAAACAAGGACCCCCGACACATCAGTCATCGGCCGACCCCATCGACCTGGAGATCCGACCTCCGACCACCTCGGAGGTCCCACCTACCCCCAAACTAGCAGTGTCTACCCTAGCTCCCCCCAGCTCGGAAGTCCCACCTACCCCCAAACTAGCCAAGGCGATCTCATCTTCCCACGAGGTAAGTAACCTGCATGGTCAAAATTTTGAAGATTTTCAAACCTGACAGAAAATGAAAAGCAAAATGAATCGAACTTCATTTAGTCACAGAGTTACTAAATGTACAAGTTGTAGTCCCAGCAATAAACCACCAACAGCTTTCTGTGTGCCTTCCAACAAACAAATAAACAAAGCAAGCAAGCAAGCAAGCAACCAACAAACCCTCAACTAATCAACCAAATCACCCACCCCTTTCATTCTCTCGCTGATAACGAAAATAGAAACACAAGCTCCCCTTCCCCATAAATAAATCAAAACAAAAACCTAAACAAATTTGTTTTTAAATGTCCATGCCTCCCCCTCTTGTTAATGATTATAGTAACTGCCATGATAAATAAAACGTACAACTTTCTTCACTCTACAATCAGCTTGCCAAGACTAAGGAAACGATTCCCCGAAAGAAGCCCGCCAAAGCAAGGAAGGGTCCTCAGCGAAATAGACGGCCACACTGGATGAACTCGGCACTCCATGTGGTACCAATATTTGAGGAATGCGAAGAAAAGAGCAATTTTGTGGAACGCGGAGTGTTTATGGTGAGTCTTTAGATTTCGTAAAAGTTTTACAGCACTTGCGATACAATTAGATCATTCAAGTGCAGGAGATTAGAAGTAGTGTTACTGGAGAATAGCATACAATTTCTTTTTGAAGAAGAAGAAGAAGAAGAAGAAGAAGAAGAAGAAGAAGAAGAAGAAGAAGAAGAAGAAGAAGAAGTATTTAAAATATTATGTAAAGAGGTGAGAGGAGATAAGTTATTATCATCGCTCTCTTGAGAACTGTTACCAAAAAGTGGAATAAAATTATTGTGGTACTTAAGAAAATCCCTCATATAGCATTCTTCATCTCATCATCATCATCATCATCATCATCATCATCATCATCATCATCATCATCATCATCATCATCATCATCATCATCATCATCATCATCATCATCATCATCATCATCGTACATGATGTTGTTACGTAAACTTTCTCTGACCGTTACAGCCGCCAGACGCCCCCACATCTGAGGAAGAACAAAAAAAGCTGGTGGAACAGCTCCTAAGTCTGTACGATAACAGCAATCTGCCCCCGGTGCCAGAAGGAATGAGATCAGACCTTCTGTTCCTGCGTTATTACCCACGGATGAAGACCCTCATCCGGGTAAGTACAAAGTGTCTCTGTCTGTCTGTCTGTCTGTCTGTCTGTCTGTCTGTCTGTCTGTCTGTCTGTCTCACCCTGTCTCATTTTGGGAAGTTTTTTTAAATAAAGACTGACGTATGTGGTGTAGAAATTAGGTGCTTCGCTAATGAAGGCAAGAGACTCAAGTTCAAATCCCCAATAGAAATAAATCTTTATTGAGCACCCAGATGTTCTATCCCTCTCACCCCCCAGCCATTCGTTCTGAAAGGCACGGCCTGAAGCCTGACTCTTTAATTAACTAAATTGTGTCGATGGTAGTGTAAAAATCCCTACATAAACATTTTGTTTTGTTTTTTCTCACAGGTTCTGAAGGCCGAGCCAGGCAGGGAGATCAAGCTCAAAGATAATTGCTGGTTTCTGTGTTTCGAGAACTTTCAGATGGTGAGCAAGTCAGAACAGGAACAACTTATCGAGCCCAACATCTTGAGGACAGGTTCGTGCTGGGCAAGGGGGGGGGGATAGAGAAATAATGAAAGAGAGGGAGAGAGAGGGAGAGGGAGAGAGAGAGAGAGAGAGAGAGAGAGAGAGAGAGAGAGAGAGAGAGAGAGAGAGAAAGGGGGAGGGAGAGAGAAAGGAGGGGTAGGAGGGAGAGACAGATGTGAGTGGGGCAGCGAATGAAGAATGCATTATCCTATTTATCTAACACGCTTCCTTTTACAAGAAACACCTTCCCCCCAACCCCCTTCCCCGCCACCCCCAAGAAAAACATTCCTCCACCTTCACGCCCAAAACAAAACCAAGTTTTTAAACCATTTTGAAAAGACATAAAGGAAACAAAGATACAGTATAATAACAATATATGTAAATGAAAAAAACAACTATTATTTTTGAATATCTATGTCACCAACACCAGATATAGAAAGGAACAATTAAGTAAACATGTAAACCAATATTTCTGAACATCTATATCACCAGCTGAGAACAAGTTTGCCTGCAAGTTTTGCGCCGACAGTGACGTAGATGGAGGGACCACCAGCAGAACTTATTTCAACAAAGACAAAGACATCAAACGACACATCGCCACCCACCTGAAGGACCAGTTCTATGTGTGTTGTTTCTGTGACTCACAGAACAACTGTGTTACCGACTTAAGAAGACATGCAACTGGACACACAGGTAAATATTCTTCATCGCCGTCTTCCTCCTTATCATCGTCATTATTCCCATAATTGGAAAAACAATTCTTTGAAAAAGGTCTGGAGAATTTTCAAATTAAGCTTAATCCATTTTCGAACAATTTTTATCCTTATCATTTTAACAAATAGACAGCAAAATTTCGTTCGTTAGACAAGTGAGTTTAGAATTTTTCATACATGCAAGATACATTGACGCTATGTGATACCATTACAAATGTACGTGTATTGTTGCACAAAACTACTGTTGTTGTGTCAATGTGTTCCTCTTTACTTAATCAAATCTCCCATCCCTCAATCTCTCTCTCTCTCTCTCTCTCTCTCTCTCTCTCTCTCTCTCTCTCTCTCTCTCTCTCGCCCTCTCTCTCTCCTTCTCTCTCTCTCTCTCTCTCTCGCCCTCTCTCTCTCCCTCTCTCTCTCTCTCTTTCACACACACACACACACACACACACACACACACACACACACACACACACACACAAACACACACACTCTCTCTCTCTCTTGAACCCGGTTCTCTCTGTTTACCCCCCCCCCCGCCGCTCCCAAACAAATATGTGTCATCCGTAGTGA